CGGTCCGGCAGATCTCGGGGGCCGTCTCGGGCGCCGCGGCCGCTCTGGAACGGGTTCGTCCTCGTCCTGCAGCCCCGTCCGAGTCACCCCAGCAGAGCACCCCACGCACCAGCAGCCGAGGCGAAGAGGCGGGTCGAAGCGTAGGAGCCGACGGAGAAGCAGCCCAGCCAAGGGAGCAGGCACGGCCAGGTGCACCTCAGTGCATTTTTTCTGTGAAAGGGAGCGCGGCCGTTCGGACCAGAAGTGTGGCCAGCACACTGGGGCTGATGTTGCTCCCATCGTACTTGAAGACCACATCCCAGAAACAATCTCGAGCACCCGGAAAAGTGTCGAAAGGGTGTCGAAGCAGCGTCGGAACAGTGTCTGACGAGTGTATCCCGGGGTCCGACGCGTGAAAACCCTGGAGCTTTTTGGGGCACTTTTCTGGTGCTCGACCTTCTTTCTGGCGGTCAAGGCTGGAACATCATAAACTGAGGCGAGGCCACGATTTGACGAACGGACAACACGCACCCATACACTCAGGGGGGTCGCTGGGAGGAGGACTGGCTATGGGTATGGGTGCGGGTTGTCGGACCCTGGGGAACGCTCCCGTTCGAGCAAGGACCCCCATCCGACAACACGCACCCATAGCCCTCTCCGATCCCCCTATGGGTATGGGTGTGTGCTGTTGGTTCGTCAACGATTCCCGAAGGCATCGTGAGGAGCCCTCAGGCGGAGCGGCCGCCAGGCCGGGCGGTCCGGGGCTCCGCCCGTCGCCCCAGAGAAGCAACCCCTAGAACCATCGGGCGGGACGCTCTCGGGGACAGATGCCGGCACGGATCATCAGTGGCAGACAGACAGACTAGCACTACCCACCCTGTAGCATACCCTCCTCTTCGTGATTCTTCTCCTCCTCCTCCTCCGCGTCCTCCTCCTCCTCCTCCTCCGCCTCCTCCTCCTCCTCCCTCCTCCTTCCTCCTCCTCCTCCGCCTCCCTCCTCCGCCTCCCTCCTCCTCCTCCCTCCTCCTCCGCCTCCCTCCTCCTCCGCCTCCTCCGCCTCCCTCCTCCTCCTCCTCCTCCTCCTCCTCCTCCTCCTCCCTCCATCCTCCTCCTCCTCCTCCACCTCCTCTCCTCCTCCTCCGCTACCTCCTCCTCCTCCACCTCCTCCTCCTCCTCCGCCTCCTCATGGGCCTCCCGCCCTGGCCCTGTGTGCCCCCCCCCCCCCCCTTGGAGGTTCGGGCCATGGGGAGATGCTCGTGCCTGTTTTGCTCTGCGGCGCGGCGGGCGCACCCCAGCGAGTGCCTACGGATTGTCGGCGGCGCGGGCGCTGCGGAAGCAGGCCTGGCCTTTGAGTAAACCTACGTGGCGTCAGAGCGAAGAGGGAGAGAGAGATCGGGAGGGAGAGGGAGAGGGAGAGAGAGAGCGAGGGAGAGAGGGAGGGAGAGGGAGGGAGAGGGAGAGGGAGAGAGGGAGGGAGAGAGAGGGAGAGGGAAAGAGAGAGATCGGGAGGGAGAGAGGGAGAGGGAGATAGGGAGGGAGAGGGAGAGAGAGAGGCAAGGAGAGGGAGACAGAGAGAGAGAGCGAACAGCAGCCATGAGGCAGACACATGAGTCTACCGTTGGAGCTGTGCTCACAGGACCCATCGCGGCTGCACTGTAGAGCAGCAATGGTGCCGTGCACAAAGAGAGATTTAACGAAAAGACGCCCTGCGTGAACATACTGATAAGACATGTCAGACCTCGACGCTGGTGGTGCATCGGGACAAGACCGCTGAAGCGGAACTCAGAACAAGGGTGAGGAAAGAAGAAGGTAGGAACGAGTGTTGGCGGCGCGCAGAGGGGTGACGCGAGGGGGATGACCGTCTAGGAAAGCGGCAGGGCCCTCGGAGGGGCCCAGAAGCTTGTCTGAAAGTGTCTTAGAAGGTGGGAGGGCTTCTCAAAGCCCTTGAGCTTCTTTGAAGCCCCCGGCCCCCCTCGCGTCAACCCCTGCACGCAGTCCACCTGACCTGGGGGAACGACGGGGATCGAATCCCGCTGCTTCCCACGACCCGCCCGGGGTGCGCCCACGAGGGCGGCCCAGGAAGCCCACGAGGGCGAAAGCGATGAGGGGGCATCGGTATCGGTATGCTCCTTCCCCGCTGGTCGAGAGGGGAAAGGGAAGAGTCGGAGATGGACAGACGTCCCTTTAGTAAAACGTGGCTTAGTGAAAACGACCTGAGGCCCAAACCTGGCGGGCGCAAGCCTGGAAAATAACGGCCACGGCGCCCTCTCGAGAACCGAAAACGGACAATCCACTAATCGACGTGTCACTGTTGGGGGTTCTGTCCACCCCCGAAAGAGGAGAGAGGGGGGGGGGGGGAACGTCGGGCAGCACGGCCGCGCCGACCGCGCGGGGAGCGAGCCCTCTCTCTTTGCGCCCCCCCGCTGCGGCACAGGCGACGGAGGCTGCCAGAAGTGGCGCTCCTGGCCCTAGAGGTCCCAGCAGCTCCTCGCGCCACCTCGGGGCCCCCGGTGCCCTCTATAGGCCTCGCGATATTTAGGTGCTCTGGAGGCCTCTGGGGCCTCGCTGGGAAAAGCTGGGGCCGTCTTTGCCTGGACCTCCGACGCCGTGGGCTTTTGCACCAGAGGAACCCCCTGAGGTTCCGAGCCCTTCCACGGGACCGGCTTTTCATGCCGATCGGTTTCTGATGGTCCTGGGGCACAGAGGAGGCCCCGAGAGGCCGAAAACTGCAAGATCTTCACGGCTATCTCCCAAGCATCCTGTGGTGCTGGGTCCTCGTCTCTTAGCGGCCAGCATCCTCCTTTCCTCCCCTCTCCTCTCCTCTCCTCTGCCCTCCTCTCGTCTCCTCTCCTCCTCCTCCTCCTCCTCCTCTTCCTCCTCCTCCTCCTCCTCCTCTTCCTCCTCCTCCTCCTCCGCGTCCTCCTCCTCCTCTTCCTATTCCTCTTCCTCTTCCTCGTCATCTTCCTCCTCTCCTCATCTTCCTCCTCTCTCAGGGTTCGCATCGCCTCTCATATGGCACACCCCACACACGCTTCGTGGGCCCAAACGAGCTCCACCGAAGCCCGCAGTGGCACGGTTCGCATGCGGCCGCGCCTCTCATGTCGGCACTCCCCTCAAGCACTTCGTGGCCTCATAGGGAGCTCCGCCGAAGGCCCCAGCGGCAGTAATCGCATGCGTCCGCGCCTCTCATGTCGGGACGCCCCTCACACGCTTCGTGGCCCCATAGGTAGCTCCACCAGAGGCCCTAGTGGCAGGGTTCGGATGCATCTGCGTCTGTGACTCTTGCTCACCCCTCACCCCAATGGCAGGATTCGCATGCGTCCCCGCCTCACATTCCGGCAAACCCGTCACACGTTTCGTGGCCCTTTGGCGAGCTCCACCGAAGGCCCCAGTGGCAAAGTTCGCATGCTTCCGCGCCTCTAATGTCAGCACTCCCCTCGCACGTCTTGTGGCACATAGGGAGGTCAACAGAAGGCCCCAAGCGGCTGCATTCGCATGAGACCGCGCCACTCATCTCGGCACACCCCTTGCACGCTTCGCGGCCTCATAAGTGGCTTCACCGAGGGCCCCAGCGGCAGGAATCGCATGCGCCCGCGCCCCTCATGTCGGCACGCCCCTCACACGTTTCATGGCCCCATGGGGAGCTCCACAAAAGGCCCTGGTGGCATTCGCATGCGTCCGCGCCTGTTGTCGGCACGCCCCTCACATGCGTGGCCCCAAAACACGTTTCGTGGGAGCTCCACCGCATGCGTCCGCGCCTCTCAGTTCGGCACACCCCTCACAGGCTTCGTGGCCCCAGGGGGAGCTCCACTGAAAACTCGAGTGGAAAAGATCGCATGCGCCCGCGCCACTTATCTCGGCACACCCCTCACACGTTTCGTGGCGCTATGGGGGGCCCCACCGAAAGGGTTCGCATGCGTCAGCACCTCTCATTCCGGCACACCCCTCACACGTTTCGCGGCCCATAGCCATAAAAAGCTGCACCGAAGGTCCCAGTGGCAGGGTTCGCACGCGCCCGCCCCCCTCGTTTCGGCACACCCCTCACACGCTGCGTGGCCTCATGGGGGGCTCCACCGAAGGCCCCAGTGGCAGGGATCGCAGGCCGCGCCTCTCATCTCGGCACGGCCCTCACAACCTTCGTGGCAGCATGGGGAAGTCCGCCGAAGGCCCCAGCGGCAGGGTTCACACGCGTCCGCGCATATCATGTTGGCACACCCCTCACACGCTTCGTGGCACATAGGGGGCTCCACCAGAGGCCCCAGTTGCAGGGTCCCTGTCGCATGCGCCCGCGCCTTTCATTTCGGCATACCCCTCACACGCTTCGTGGCCGCGGAATGCAATGAACTCCACCGGATAACCCAAGCGGCTGCTGATTCCCACGCGCCTGCGCCTGTCAGTTCGGCTTACCCCATCACACGCTTCGTGGCCGCATAGGGAGCTCCACCGAAGGCACGCGTTCCCACTTCTCACTGCGGCACGCCCCTCGCACGCTCCGTGACCACACAGGGAGCTCCACCGAAGGCCCCCAGCGGCTCTTTCTGCATGCGCCCGCGCCTCTCACCATCGGCACACCTTTCGCACGCTTCGTGGCCCCGTGGGGAACTCCACCGAAGGCTCCAGCGGCAGGGTTCACATGCGCCCCCGCCTCTCATGCCGGCGCCCCCCATCACACGCTTCGTGGCCCCATACTGGGTAGTCGAAGCCAATCTGGCGCCAATCTGGCAGGCCCGATCTGGCAAACGGGGGCAATCTGGCGAGGGAGCCAACGCGGATCCAGTCTGGCGAATAACCCAAATCATCCAGTTTGGCCGGGCCAGATTGGCCCTTGGGGCCCAATCCAATCTGACAGTCTGGCCTTCGACTACCCAGCCATAGAGAGCTCCCCCCACTGCGCTCCACGTGCCCTTCGACCATCTCGCCTGCACATGATGCGGGTCCTTCGCCAGGAGAACTTCTCGCCACGCGGGGAGGTCCTGGTGAACCGGGGCCACCTCTGGCAGCTCCCAGTGGAGATCGCGCCCCGCCCAGGGAGAGTACCGCCGCCCTGGGCCGATGTCCGTGGCGCGTGCTCGAGCCGACCAGTCCACGGCTGGCAAGCAAGAGTCAGTATCAATGTCACGCCGATCGGACGACTCCACCAGCGCGTTAGTGCTGAAGAAATGTCAGTGGGCTTCGTTCACAGAACGGATTCGTTTGATCCGAGCGATCCCCACGCGAGAACGCGAGGTGGGAGACTCTTGGGTCACAGAGAACACTTGGGCCCGGCGGCTGCGGAACGCACTCGGCACTCGACGAAGACGCGAAGCGGCACTGCCCGGGGAACGCCAGGACACCTGGCGCCAGGCGGCCGCGGCACGCAGGGTTGATCTCGAGGCGGGCCGGGAGCTCTTATTTCTCTGAGCCGAGCAACCCCAACCTGCTCCTCCTCCTCCTCCTCCTCCTCCTCCTCCTCCTCCTCCTCCTCCTCCTCCTCCTCCTCCTCCTCCTCCTCGCCAGTGCTGGGTGGGTAACGCGCGCGGTTTGGAAGACGGCGCGCGTGCCATTGATGCCCTCGATCCCTCCCGACATGAGCGGGGGGGGGGCCGAGGGCACTCCGCGCGCGGCGCGCCCGCCACGAGCCCCCTAACCCTCCCCGCCAGCCCGAGGAGAGGCGCGGGGAGCCACAGGGGCAACGCCCGGGAGATCTTCGCGGGGACGACTGCAGGCCGCTCCACCCCACTGCGGGGGCAGAGGGCTCGACGAAGCCTGCTGAAGCCCAAGGTCGGGCCAGGCCAGATGCGCGGGACCTGGCTGGACCCAGCAAGAGGACAGCGGGCTGGGCCAGTTTTCGGCAAACGCCGATGCCGGATGCAACCGCCCAAGGGATGCAGCCTGGCGAAAGGGGGGAGACTGGCTCAGGGGACGCAGGCCGCAGGACCACCCTCAGAAGCGCACGTGACAGAGGAAATCGTTTTCAAATATCCACCCAATTGTGTTGGCGACAGCCCCGAACATGGATTGTGGAAACTGTGTGTATCATCTCCCCACAATGTTCGTCGCCTGCCGTGTCCACGTTGTGCTGGTCCAGTATCTTGGACGTCGGGCTTCCAGACTGCAGCGAGTCTGGCCCACCTCACTGCTGCTCGCCTTGCCCATCTCCATGTGCATGTGTACTACACGGTCGTCCACCTGTCCAGGTTGAAACGTGACCCGAGCATTGTTGCCACATGGCTAGCTCCTCAAAAAAAACCCCACGACTCAAGCTCAGGACCGTGTCCGACGTCATACACGTCAAAATGCTTAATTGCGTCATCTGTTTTCGTTGTGGTGTTCCTGCGATCGTCGGCTGGCTGGGGTCGGGGTTAGCAGTGGCACCGACGTCGGCGTTGTGTTGTGCAGGTGCTCGGCGTCTGGGGTTGTTCACGATGGGTCATCGCATGCGTCGCTGAACACGTCGCAGTTCGCCAAAGGGCATGCCTCTGGTGTCCACGAGGCGCAACCGCACGTGAGAATGGAGAGGGTACCGCGTGTTGTGAGCTCGTCACGGAGTTGGCTGAACCTCTGCCATTCCATTGCAACTATGCGTCGCCGACAAACCATACATCAGTACGGCGCGTGCTCCTCGTCTGCCCAAACTGTACACCAAAGTCTTGCTTCTCCACACTGGCTTGACGCTTGACTGTTTGGGCACACGTGCTCAAGCACTGCGTTGAGTAGGTAAGGACTGAATGGGTCTCCTTGTTTGACGCCGCGCTCGATGCTGAAGCCCCTGCTGTGGGCATTGGTCAGAACTGTGGCAGACTGGTCGCTGTAGAACTCTCGGAGCAAAGTGGCGCGTGGCGCTTGCACAGTCTGCTGGTGCAGTGCTTCCCCGAGGCACAAGTGATCTCTACCATCGAACGCCTTCTCGGAGCCCATCACAGACGTCCGCACGCTGAGCTGCAACCCGTGCGCTGTCGTGATGGCGGTCGGGCCGTCCAAGCAGAAGCCTTTACGAACGCGAGCCTGGTCGGGTGACTGCTTGGAGTCGCCGCTGGCCGCGAGCCGAACTGACAGAGCACCCTGGAACCGGCGGTGCATCGCCGACAGCTCGGCGCCGGGCCTCCGACCAGCGACGCCAAAAACGCTCCTGGGGCAGGGCCGGGCTCGCGGCGTCCGATCAGCGAGGCGGGGCCACGTGCGTCCACGACCGCCGCCCAGGAGGGAGGGGGGGAGGGGGCTGCGAACTGGTGTCAGAAACAAATTTCGTGGAACCCTGAAAAGAAGCGGGATGTTGGGGGAGTGGGGTGGAAGGATAATGAGAACTGCAACCGTGTCGAGGGGAGGCGGGAGCCCCAAATGAGAGCGGAATTCTTTAATAAATTGTTGAGAAATATCAAGCGGGAGCCGCGATCCGGTGGTAAATTGCAAGGAACTCCCAAGCGAGAGGGCGACTCTTCAATACATTGTGAGGAAGTATCAGGCGGGAGCCATTGTTGTTGTTGTTGTTGTGAACCGGGGCCAACAACGCAGTTTGTCCCTCAAGACTTTCCCTGGAAAGAACAGGGCGCGAGCCCCGGGAAGGGCACTACCATCGAAAAAACAATGTGCACCTGACGGGGGGGATCAACCATAATTATTCTTCAGAAATTAAAAGTTCAACAACACCATCACCACCACCAACAACAACAGCAGCAGCAACAACAACCACAACAACGAAAACAACGACGACTACAACAACAACAACAACAACAACAACAACAACAACAACAATTACTAGCACATGGGGACACACCGTTCTCACCAGTGCCAGGGTTTTCATAGGAGGCGGGCAATACCCCCACTTTGTGGGGGGGCCGGTTCAAACTCTACCAAATTTCCAAACGACTCTTCGCCACCACCCACACCCAGCTTCCCGCCCTATGACGTTCGGACACTTCACTTCGTGGCATGCGGACGACCGTGGCTACTATTCAGGGCCCCGCGTCCGACGACGACGGCGTGCGCGCGCGAAGAAAAAACGAATGTGTCCCGCATGGTATTATTTGACAGGGATGATGGCCCTGGCAGGTGCGCATCCGTTGTTGCAGAAGTTCGAAAAAGTTGCTCGCAAAAGCCCGTTTGACAGAAATGATTAAAAAGTGTTGGGTTTCCTACGAATCCGCAAGAGCGCGCGGGATGAAAGTTTGACAATTTTTTTTTGAAAAACCATTGGTTTTTTGATGTTTTTATGTTAAAATCGCTACGAAAACTAAGGTTTTGGAAGGATTTCGTCTTGCGCGCGCGAATGTCCACTTTACATATTTTTTGCAAGGGATTCTTGAAGTTTGGTTATGTTAGAACAAGAAATGTCCACTTTAAAAAAAAAAAAAAAAAAAAAAAAAACTAAAAAAAAAAAAAATTACAAATTAATAATTTAAAATAGTTAAGAAAAATAAAAAAAAACTTTAGCTTATTTTTTGCAAGGGAAAACCGATCGTAACAACACAACCGGATCCGGACTCCCCCGTTTTGCCCGAGACTTTCTCACGAAAATTATGAAAACGAGGCTGCGGCCTAGGCGCGGCGGGGGGGTCGTGCACCAGGGGTCCCAACAATAATTATTCTTAAGAAGAAATAATGTTCAACAACAACAACACCAACAACAACAACAACAACAGCAACAACAAAAACAATAACAACACAAACCACAACCACAACAACAATCACAGCACCAACAACATTAACAACACCAACAACACAACAACAGCAGCAACAACAACAACAAGAATCCCGGGGGAGATTCTGGAGAGGACGATCAACAAACCTCAATGCCGACGACGATGCCGACGAGCAAGGCTGAGGCCCAATTGATCGATCATCGCCCAAATTCAGTGCTGCGTGACAGCCCATATCCTACCGACGAATCTGGCTGAGGACGGGCCACGAAGGCAAGGATGCGAGGGTATCCTTGGAACGTCGCCGCCTCCCAGTCACCTCATCAAACCCCCTGCCTGGCCTCCCTGACGCAGCACGCGGCTGTGTGCCATGTGCTCGCGGCGCGCACCAGGGGGTGGTGCGGGCGCGGGCGGTCCTCTCAGAAGGAGCCCATGGGGGCTCCCTTCGAGGGCAGAGGCCTCCTTGGAATGAGCACGGGGGAAGCGGGTCCTGCGCGGAACGGATCCTGGACCCCCCGGGCCAGGACCCAGCCTCTCCTCCCGAGTCGTTTGCAGCAGCCCCGGGGCCCGTGGAGGGCCCCGAGAGCCCGAAGGCGGCGAAGAACCTCGGGACCCGTCTCCCTCAGGACCCGCTGCCCCCATGGCGACAGAAGTCATCCTGGCTCATCGGAAGCCTTCGTAGAAGCCTCCAGCGCCTTCTACAGTCGGGGCGTTGACCTAAGGAACCCTAAATAAGGAACGAGGCCCTTTTTTCCAGAAGTTCAACTACGATTTCCTATCGAGAACATCGGAAAACCTGAGGCAAGCTGTGAAACCCTTAAGGAACGCGGAGCCCCTCCCCAACGAAAAGGGTTCCTTCTTCAGGGCCCCGACTGCACTACAATCGTCAAAATGAACCTCGAAAATGGCGGACATGCCCCTTCGAGGTCGGCGCGCCCTTCAATGTCGACACGACGTCCTTCGCATGTCGGGGCCAGGGCAGAGGTGGCCTGACTGGGAGAGAGTCGTAAGTTCGACCCTGACCGCCATTGGAAGGGCGGCGCATACAAGTACCTCGCACTCATCGCTACTCAAGCCAGAAATCTTCCCGTGCACAAGTCAGCTACGTAAGGCATGTCGGATGTTAATTTTGACCAGGTATGTACCCAGACATGCGACGTCATGCTTTTTCTTTCAGGACGGCGCCCTCAGAAGTCCAGACCCTTTCCCTGGGGCCGGTTCTTCATCCTGCGTCGTTCTTTGACGGCCCCAGGGCCCCGCGAGGGCCCCCAGGGGCCGAGACTAGCGAAAAACTGGCCGTCCTGATGTTTTGTTACGACGCGATCACGTCTGGGTAGGACGGCCCCTGCCCTCCAAGAGGCTCCTCGGGAGGCGCCCCCCTCCGCGCCACCCGCCCGCGCGCGCCGCCACGTGTGCCTCTGCTCTTCCACGGCCGGCCGACTCGAACCACGCGCCGCCTCGGCGAACGTGCAGGCCGGGCGGCGAACGAGCTCGCCTTATATGTACAGCACGGGCGCACGCCGCCGCGAGTGCAGCTGCGCGGGCCGGCGGCAGAGTGCCCCGAACACGGCTTCCGAAGACACAGATCACACACGAGATACCTAGCAGGTGTCGGAGGTCCGCGCGGACTTCTCAGGTCGGCGCCCACAGCGCCGGAGCCCCTCCGGCGGCGCCTCCAGCGCCGCCCCTGGCGCGCGAAGCGTGCCGAGGGGGGGGGGGGGGGCGGGGCCCGGCGCCGACCCAGGAGATCCCCGCGGACCTCCGGAAGCTCCTGTGCGCGCGGGCATAAAATTTCCCGACGTCGGCGCCGTTCGCGAGAGGCGAGCGCGGGGCACGCGAGGGCTCATGGGCGCCTCCGGGGCCCGAGCTCTGGCCGCATGATCGGCGCGGTCCCCCAAAAGGCCGACCGCGGCGGCCAGCCAGGCTCGTGACGTCGAGCGACTTCTCGGGCCGCGCGCAGGTGTGTGTCGTCTGCTGTTCTGTGTTTTGGCGGCGCGCAAAAAAACGGGGTAGGGGGAGGGGGGAAGGCTTCTTAGAAGCACCCTGCTTCTGAGAAGGCCTCGGCCTTACGTCTGTAGAGAAGGCCCGCGCCTTCTAAGAAGCAGGGGTGCTTCTAAGAAGCCTTCCCCCCTCCCCCTACCCCCCTCTGCGCGCCGCCAAGTGTTGTTCCGATGCGGGCGCGACTGCGCGCCGTGGCGGCAAAGTGCCCCCACGGCTCCTTAAAAGGGCACAGAGAGCGTGCGATTTCGCGGGGCGCGCGGGCTGCGGCCGGAGACGCGCGCGGGGGCCTCGCTGCGCCCTCCCCCTGCCGCGCGGCGCGCGCCGCGCGACGATAGGAACCGAGCGGTGCTCGCGCAGGGAGCAGGGGGAGCGGGGCGCCGACGCTGGAGGCCTCCCAGCGTGGGGCGCGGGCCTCCTCCTCCTCCTCCTCCTCCTCCTCCTCCTCCTCCTCCTCCGCCTCCTCCTCCTTCATTCCTTTTCCTGATGAGTACTTCCTCCCTGTCGCACCCCGAGGACGGTCGGAAGGGCGGGCCGAGCGTTGCGCCTGAGACTTCCTCACCACTTATGAGCCTCAAACTGAAAACTGGCAACAGCTTCGCAGATGCAGGGCGGGTCGCTTCCAAAATGCGATTCTCGCCTAAACGCCGCGCAGATTCGCTTGGAACAACAAGTTGTACGGATTCAGAGTGGGTCGTTTTCAAAACGTGGTTTTCGCCTGAACGCCGCGCACACTCGTGCAACAAGTGCACGAGCTTCACGGATTCGTGACCACAGCCCCGCCCAAAAAGGCCCCCAACACGGGGCCGACATCCTACCCCACTTCTTGGCATCGCTCGGACGCCCATTTCCCGTGCATGCTTCGGGTTCGTGCGTTTTTTTTCTGGCTGCTGGATGGTCCTGGATGCTCCTCCATGGTCCTCGCCGAAGAAAAAAGGCACACGTCCGAGCGATGCCCGGACATCCTACCCCACTCGGGAGGCCCTGGAGACGTGGCACGACCCCCCAGGCGTAGGTCGGGCGTGTCCGCCTACAGAATTATATATATACATATATATATACATATATATATATATAAAAGCCATAAACAAACATTTAAACAAAAAGCAACAACAACAACAACAACAACAACAACAAAACAATAACAAACAAAAAAAACTCCCCTGACTATTTGTTCTGGCTATTTTTGAAGATCCCCCCTGCAGTGGGACAGGCCCGACTTCACCCCGGGGGCCGCGGCCGCGCACCTCCGGCCTGCCGCGGCCAAAGGCAGGCCGCGAGGCACACCGGGCGCGCAGCGGAGCGCAGGCTAGGCGGGGAGAGAGAGAGAGAGAGAGAGAGAGAGAGAGAGCGCGGCCATAAGCTCCTCCTCCTCCTCCTCCTCCTCCTCCTCCTCCTCCTCCTCCTCCTCCTCCTCCTCCTCCTCCGGGCGGGCGCTCGGACGCGGGGCCGCGGGGCCGTGCACGAGAGCTCGGGGGCCCGGGTCTCCGAGGGCGCGATGCCTAAGTGGCCATCGCTTTGGACGTCCGTTCTCTGTGCTTTTGTTCGGTGCGTGGCTTTTTCGGCCAAGTGATCAAGGATGCTCCTCGATGGCCCTCGCCCAAGGAAAAATGCACACGTCCGAGCGATGCCAAGCTGAGGCCTTTTTCGCCGGGCGGAGGGCTCACGGTGAAATTCGGCTCTACGCAGGAGGGGCCCTGAGGGCAAGAGTGGCCTCTGGTGCGCGACCTTTTTGGGGGGGCCGCGGGGGGGCCAGACATGGGTGCGCAAGCAGCTGCTGCGGCTTCGTTTTCAGCCAGCCGGGGACCCATCTGTGCCCGCACCAAAGGTCACTCTGGCGAAAGGTCACTCTTACGTCCAGTCGTGAAATCCATATGGGCTCTTGCACCTCGAAAATCAATCCGCCTTGTGATTCACCTTCTGCAGATTCAGGCCTCGGAAATTCATCGAAGCGGCACTTCAGACTTCGCCCTCTGCCCTCCGCCCAGAGAACATGCTCGGGATCTGGTGACTACCTACCAGACCACCCCAACCCGACCCCAAGACCCGACGTTCGGGCTGGGGGGGGCGGGGGGGCGGGCTTCACGTGCGTTTTTCCCATATCCCCCGACACCCCCACTGGAGATGGAGGGCAGATCGGGGCCTCCCTGACTCCGGATCCGCCCTACTTTGGGGAAATTCGCAAGTGGGGCTTCGAATTTCCGCCTTACTTTTCAAGCCCCGCTGATGCCAATTTCCGCCCTACTTTTCTGTTGCTGTTTCTGTGGATGTCCGCCCTATTCTATGCTGGGTGCAGCAATTTCCGCCCTACTTTTTCGGCCTCTTATAGGTCGATTTCCGACGCAGTTTTAATTTGGAAAAAAAGCCAAAGTAGGGCGGATCCGGAGTCAGGGCTCCGGGTTGGGCTGGGGCGGCTTGGTGGGCGGCGATCTCTTCAGCCCCGGCGCCGCGCCTCGATCTCGGCCTCTGGGCCCCGACTCCGGCTCCGCCGCGACTTCCTGGGCGATTCCGCAGGCAGGGCGGCCACCTCCGACCTGCTGCTGTCCGAGCTGCTCGGATGCCGGTGTCCGCTCTCCTTTGCCGTCGCCGTCTCCGCCCTACCTTTTTGCGAAGAGGTCCCCCCTGTTCTCCCGAGGCGGAAATGTCCGCCCTACTTGTTCGCATCGGGATGCACTTCCGACACGGATTCTAGCTCAGAGACTCAACCCAAACTACCACGGTACGGCGGATCGAGAGTCAGGGTGGGGCTCGCTGCTGGGCCCGGGGAGCATCAGACATTTTGAGCAGGGACCGACCGTCCTGGCATTCCTATAGTCCTACCACGACATGTTCTTCGAACCCAAAAATGTTCTAAGAACGAAAGCAATGTTCTTAGAACATAAGCCCGATGTGCTCAAACAAGACAGACTCCACCAGAATTGTTCTAAGAACATCTCGTGGAAGCCACAAGAGGTTCTTAGAACATTGCTTGGTAGGGCTACAGGCGAGCCAGGACGCTTCGCCACTGTTTGAACACTGATATTGGACAGATAATGCGGGATGACGATTAATGAAAATTGGAGAGAACGATTTAAAAATTACCCCAGTGCGACCCTACCTAGAAGTTGGAGCCCCTAGGAAAGCAGCATGAGTTGCAATGCTATGCTTTGCTATGCCATGATGTGCTGCGCTAGGTCCTAGCGGCTAGGATATGCTATGCTATATTATGCTATGCTGCGTTATGCTATGCTATGCTCTGCTATGCGATGCTATGCTAAGCTATGCTATGTCATGCTGCGCTATGCTATGATAAGCTATGCTATGCTATGTTATGCTAAGCTATGCTAAGCTGCGCTATGCTATGCTATGCTATGCTATGGCACGCTATGCTATGTTATGCTATGCTATGCTTGGCTATGCGATGCTATGCTAAGCTATGTTAATGCAGCGCTGCGCTATGCTAGCCTCCGGACTTGAGCCGAAATGGTTACGGAAGGCACTGCTTGCGGGGGCTCCGGTCCGGCCATCGAGACTAGCTCGGCATCTGTCGCACATTGCTTTTGCTTTGTCTTTCCTTTGCTTTGCTTTTGCTTTTGCTTTGATTTGCTTTGCGTTGCTTGTACTTTGCTTTGCTGTCGCTGCTGTTGCTTTGCCTTTGCCTTACTGCTATGCTATGCTCTGCTATACTATGCTATGCTGCGCTGTGCTATGCTGTGCTGTGCTGTGCTGTGCTGCGCTATGCTATGCTATGCTGTGCTATGCTATGCTATGCTATGCTATGCTATGCTGCGCTATGCTATGCTATGCTGGGCTATGCTATGATATGTTGTGCTGCGCTATGCTATGCTACGCTATGCTATGCTATGCTGTGCTCTGCGATGCTAAACCTCAGCGAAGCTAAGATGAAGGTAAGTTAAGCTAAGATAAACCTGAGCTAAGATGAAACTAAGCTAAGCTAAGATGAAATAAGCTAGCTAAGATGAGATAAGCAACGCTAAGCTAAGGAAACGTCACTGGGGGAACCGCGGGGCGGATACCGGGGGAACCACCTGGGACGTTTTCCACTGCCCGGCCCCTTTAAGCTAACCGAGTAAGAACCCTTCTAGGCAGAGCCTAGGTAGGGAAATAGTTGTCTGCTATTTCTGCACAAATTTCTGACTGGAGGAGAACGATATATATATATATGATGTTCCACCCCGCGGCCGGTTTTTTCTAATCGTCATCCCGGGCGCCGCCGCGTGAACACGATCCCCGGTCATTTATGAATCGTCATCCTCCATTACCCCTGGAGAAAAGGTTGTGACCTCCGAGGCCGTACATTGAACGATTCACGTCGTCGGGTGTCCAGGCCGGCAGAACCCGGAAGGCGCCTGGCAGCGCCTGGTCCTCCGAGGGGGGCGCTGCCGCGGCGGCGCGCAAGGACGCGAGACGATGCCGAAGCCTTGGCCCAACGGTGCCTCCCGCTCTTCGTTCCACCTCGGAGCCCCTGGGGCCCTCTTGGCCTCCCGAGGGGTGCTCTGGAGGCCATGAGGGGCCTCCTTGTGGACATCCTGGGGACACCCTGGGCCAGGGACGCTTCTGGCAACCAAGGCGAAGCCAGGACGAGGATACATTCGGGCGACGATACATCGAGAATCCCTGAGGTCTGGCGGCTCTGAAGGATGTCTCCGGCGCCGCGGCCTTCTCAGAGCGTTCCAGGACGTTCTGAGAGTGTTCCGCAACGCTCTGGAACGGACTCATCCTCGTCCTAGCCGCGGAGGAGGAGGAGGAGGAGGAGGAGGAGGAGGCGGAGGTGGCGAAGGAGGTCCTAACCCCGTCCGAGCCAAGGACACATCTGGCAACGCCCGACAGGAGCTCGGGCGGTCGTGCTGTACCGCACGGTCGGCTCAGCCGACCCCGAATCACGACCACATCGCCGCCACGGAGCGTATGGAACTGCGGTGGCCTCTGAGCAGGCCGTCAGCCCGGCGGGCGCCGAGGTCCCAGACCAGCAGCGAGCAGTCGTCGCTCCCGCTCACGGCGCGGTGCTGGTCCCAGTCCGCGCACACGCACTGCACGGCGCCCGAGTGCCCCGCCAGCTCCTGCCGGGAAGGGCTTCTATCGGCGACGAGCAAAGGGGGAAAGTGAGTAGGAGGAGAAGGCCTTCTCAGATCGCAGCGGGGCTTCCCGGAAGGCCTCCGGCCTTCTGAGCGGCTCTTCCCGTGCCTCCGGAGGAAGCAACTCGGAAGGCCGGGGGGACTTCCGAGCCTTCTAAGAAGTACCTCTCCATCTCCCTTCCTACACGGTTTCCCCCGGGGCCGTAGGCGAGGAGGAGGAGGAGAAGGAGGAGGAGGAGGAGGAGGAGAAGGAGGAGGAGAGAGGAGGAGGACGAGCCCTTCGGAGAAACCCTCCATCCCTTCCCCCCTCGACCTGGGCCCCTCGACCCTCCCCGACCTGAACTCCTTCTTCCCCTCCCCCCACCCCTCCTCCTCCTCCTCCTCCTCCTTCCTCCTCCTCTCCCCTCCTCCTCCTCCTCCTCCTCCTCCTCCTCCTCCTCCTCCTCCCCTCCTCCTCCCTCCCCCTCCTCCTCCTCCTCCTCCTCCACCCCTCCTCCCTCCGTCCTTCCTCCTCCTCCTCCACCTCCCCACCTCCTCCTCCTCCCTCTTCCCCCCCTCCTCCTCCTCCACCTCCTCCCTCCTCCTCCTACCTCCTCCTCCTCCTCCTCCTCCTCCTCCTCCTCCTCCTCCTCCTCCTCCTCCTCGCCGCCGCTTCTGCGCGCCACCACCATGCCTGGGCAGGGCAGCCCTGGGCCCTCAGGGCACGGCGTGCGCGCCCCCTCCCGGGGCCGAGACTGGATGGAAGCCGATCCCGCACCCTCCTGGGGCCCAGGACTGGATCGGGCAGATCCTCCTACAGAGGGGATTCTGGACGAAAAATCAAAAATACCCAACAAACAATCCAAACATGTTTGTTTACAACATACATATATATATATACATATAACAAATATACTAAATGTACGAGTACATATATATATACGAACAATACGAATAATAATCATACGAGTGGAAGTAATATTAGTATTCGTAAGACAGCATTAATATTATGAACAATTATATGGGAAATAGTAGTAAGAAAAATAATACAAATATTAATGATAATCCGAATAATAGAAATTAGACGAATGACAGTGATACTATTAATCATACGAATAACCACCATAATAATATATATATATATATATAATAAAGATGGTCCTAATCATAAGAATCGGAATGCGATTACTCATAATCATCATGATGAGAATAGTAATACTATACGAATAATGATAATGGTAAACATCGTCCTCATACTATGTTTTGACTATTATTGAATACTCCCCCTGTAGAGGGACATGCCCCACTCAAGCACAGGAGGGCCCTGGCCAAGCACGGCGGTGGCGCACCCGGCGAGAAGCATGCTGCGGACCTGCGGCTGCTGCGACGCGCCCGCCGGCTCGCCGCCGCGGAGGTCCCAGAGCCGCAGCTTCCCGTCCTCCCACGCGGGGCGGCGACACGTCCGGGCCCACGCCCTCGCGGTCTGGACTCCGGGCCGCGCTCCCGTGGACACGCGGCAGCACAGGACACGCTCCGCGCGGGGCGCCCGCGAGCAGAAGCGCGGCTCGCAGCCGCGGGGAAGCGCGGCCCAGGGGCCCGACCCGCGGGGCCGTGGGCACGGCACGCGCGGAGGCGCTCCCCGCCCACGACGTCCTCGCTGCCGCTGAGGGCCCGGAGCCCCCGCCAGTCCACCGACACGCAGCGCACCCAGCCGCCGTTGGCCTGGAAGCGCCGCAGCTCCGCCCCGCGGCCGAGGTCCCACAGGACGAGGGAGCCGTCGTGGCTGCCGCTCAGGGCCCGGTCGGCCTCCCAGTCCTGCAGGGAGGAAAACAGCGGCATCAGCACAAGCGTTCGGAGCTCCGCGCGGATGCCTCGGATCGGCGCTGGGCCCCCCTCGCCGGCGCGCGGGGGGCGCCTTTGGCGGCGCCAGAGGCGCCCCCCAGGGGGTCCAGCGCAGATACAAGAGGCCCGCGCACAGCTCAGAAAGCTTCTATCTGCGCTGTCTCTTGCCATCGCTCGGACGTCCATTCCCAGTGCATGCTTCGGTGTCGCGTTTTTTCATATTTCGCAGGATGATCCTAGATTTAGGTCGGGCGTGACCCCCCACAGGCGGATTCTGGACAAAAAATCAAAAATACCCAAAGCATACCCCTAAATAGTGAAAACGTATGTTTAAAAGTCGTCCCCAGAGTCTCTTTGCTTATTTTGGAAAATTCCCCCTGTAGAGGGACAAGCCCGACTTAATCCTAGATGCTCCTCGATCGCCCTTGCCGAGAAAAAAAATGCACACGCCCGAGTGGTGCCGAGTCTTTGCTCGTCTCTTCGAGGTCCACGGCGAGGCAGTGCACGCCGCTGCGGTGCCCGCGCAGCTCCTGCTGCGCCGCCCCCCTCCTTCCGAGAGAGACCAGAAGGCACTGACACCGCTGCTTCAAATCCCGTATTAATCGACCCCCCCCCAAAAAACAGACCCCCCTCCAAATATTCCGGACCCCCCTCGTCGACGGGGCGCCTTGATAAGCCGGACCCCCCAAGCTCCAATCCAAAGAACACGCCCTAACAGACTGGACCCCCCAATTACAAAAAAGGCGCCTTGGAAAACCGAACCCGGGGGGACGATTGATAAGGGATTTGGAGTACTCCCCGCACCTCTCCCAGGGTGCGTTCTGACCAAGACTGTCGACACGAGTCCAAGGGTGGCGACGCGGGCATCCCAGGAGGCCCACGAAGGACCTAAAGAAAACGGGCGAGGGGCAGCAGAATACAGTCAAAAACCCTAATGAGGACGCGCGGTAAGGACGCAAGACCCTTGGAGGCCGAAGTTGGGGTTTTTTGGGGCGGCGGACGACGAACACCTCAAGGACGCAAGAGCAAGGAAGAGCAAGGACGCAAGAGTACCCTGAGCAAAGCCGCGCGTCCTTATTTAGGGGTTTTGACTGTACGGCACCCTGTCCTCCCCTGATCCTCAGGCACCAGATCCTCACTGTGCAGTCGTCGCTGCCACTGGCCGCGCGGAGCGAGGCCACGTGCAGGGAGACGCACTGCACCAGGTCCTCGTGCCCCCGCAGCTCGGCGACCGCGTGCACGGCGTGGTGCAGGTTCCACAGCTGGACGATGGGCCCGTTTTCCACCACCACCACCATGAGTTGCAGGGGGAGGGAGGTGGAGGAGGAGCAGGAGGAGGACGAAGAGGAGGAGTAGGAGGAGGACGAAGAGGAGGAGGAGGCGGAGGAGGAGGAGGAGGAGGAGTATAAGGAGGAGGAGGAGGGGGAGGAGGAGGAGGCAGGACGCGGAAGGAGGAGTGAGGAGGTGGTAGTGAGCGTGGACCTCCTCCCCTCTCCAACTAATGGAGGTGGTGGTGGTGGAACAACAGGCCCAATCACTGAGCCGCGCTACCTCAAGTCGTCCCGGGCCACCGCCGCACGCCCACGTCCCAGTCCGCCGTGCACGCACCGCAACCCGACCGCCCTGAATACCGGTAGGTCCTCCACAGGGGTAAGAGGATCCTAGATTTCGGAGGAGGAGGATGAGGAGAAGGAGGAGCAGGAGGCCGTGACCACAATCGAAAGGGGGTGGCGTGGAAGGGCAGGAGTAGGGAGGAGCAAGACGAAGGCAGCAAGGGAGGTAGGATGCGCGAGGGGAGGAGGAGGCCTGAGGAGGGGTGAGGTGGAGGGGACGAAGGATAGGATTTCGGGGGAGACCGGCGCCTGGCTCTCGGAGGTCCGCCCTGCTTTCGCGGCTCGGCGCTATAGAGGCCCCACCCCCGGCGCGCGGGGCGCCCCCGGGGGGGCGGCAGCGAAGGAGGCCGCCAAGGGGGGCGGGACCAGCTCCTACCTAGTCTTAAGTGGGGCGTGTCCCCCTACAAGGGGATGATCGACGAAAACTGCAAGATACGCAAAACAATACTCCAAAATGGAAGGAAAAAAAATGCCCCCCAACCAGTCCCCGGACTATCTTTTACTATGTTTGAGTATTCCCCCTGTAGAGGGACAAGCCCGACGTAAACTTAGTCCAGAGAGCCGCGCGGCACTCGGAACATCCGTGCGTATGCGCTGTGCTCCCTTTCGATCCTCAACGCCGAGCCGCTCTTCGAGGGCCTCGCCCGGGGGGGTGCGCTCGGACCATGGTCTCGGCTGGCCCCCCGAGGCGGCCCCTGAAGGGCGAACACCGGGGGAGGCTGACAGTATGCATCGGCATCGCCAGACTCCCGACGTCCTGGTGCCTTCACAACGTCGACCCCCAGACGTCTAGACCCCCGCCCAGGGACCTGTTCACCATCCCAGGTCGTTTTACGACGGTCCCGAGGCCTGGTGACGCCCCCCGGAGGCCGAAATCGGCCAACAGAAACCTTCCGCCGCAGCTCTGCCATCACGAGAGGGGGTGGGGGAAGATCGATACACCCCCCCTCCCCGATCCTAAGCGCCGAGCCGCTTTCCAGGTCCCACAGCTGCAGGGACCCGTCGTGGCCGCCGCTCAGCGCGCGCTTGGAGCCCCAGTGAACCGCGGCGCACTGCACGGCGCCGCCGTGCCCCTCCAGCTCGCGCACGCACTCGGCGCGCTCCAGGTCCCACAGGATGAGCCTGTGGTCACGGCTGCCTCGGGTGCGCCGCCCAGTCTGACGACCGTCGGAGATGCACCCCAAACGACGCGAAACCGAAGGGCGGACAGTGCCACCGCAGAGGAGGAGCACGGATCGTGTCGCAAGAGCGTAGTGGAAACATCAACGGCAAGGCAGGGCAGAACTCAACATCGAAGGAGCTTGAAAGGCAGGGCGGGAATTTCCGCCCTACTTGCGACATCGCCCCAAGTACAGCGGATCCAGAGTCAGGGTCGCGTCGCGAAACAATGATGACGGCAAGTGTTTTGAGATGTTCGGCCCCAGAGGGCCCTCACCGGCACCTGGGACCATCCAAAAACAGCTCTGTAAGCACAGCCGATCCCAGGGACTCCATCGAGACCTCTGGGTCCACGTTTGAAGGGGCCCTGGGACACACAAATAAATACACACAAATAAAAGGATGCCCCATATCTTCCCACATTTTATGGAGTTCTGTCTTCTCCCCCACCTCCCCTATTTTCCTATATTTTCTGGGGAATCGACGCTTAATTGTGTCTGTGTGTTTTTCCCCTCCTGAACGTTGTGAGAAGGAAGCACTCACGCCGTCGGGGGTCCGAACGGGGAGGGGGGCCACATGACGAGGGGGGGGGGGCGCAGCGTGGCCCGATAAGCAGGTGCGCGGACGAGGGGGGCGTTGGCCAGGAAACGCACGGGGCGAAGGAAGAGAGGGGGCCATGGCATTCTGGACACCTCCTCCTCCCCCCTCCTCCTCCTCCTCCTCCTCCTCCTCCTCCTCCTCCTCGTCCTAATCCTCACCCCTCCCCCCCTGCTTCGGTCGGCGTCTGGCCCTGCCAAGACGAAGGACGAGAGGAGGCCATGACACCCCGCGGCCCGGCCAGACTCCACACCCGGCGGCGCGCACAGGGGGGGCATTAGGGGGAGGGGGAAGAGCCTCTCAGAGGGAGGCTGCTCCTCAGAAGGCGCGGGCCACACAGCTGCAGACAGGGCGCGCGCCTTCGAAGAGCCAGGCGCCAATGAGCATGAACCACACGGGCCCTGCGTCTCCGGGGCCAGCTCGTATCTCGAGAGGGGGTCCGGAGACCGTGCGGGTAACGGGACCGCGCGGCGGCCTCGGAAAACCCCGAGAGGCCGCACCGCGCGGTCCGCCGCCGCACGGCCGCGGGGCCTCGGCGGCCCCGGTGAGAACGGCCCGAGTCCCGGAAGCGGCGACCCCGAAACCCCACCGGACTCACAGCGCGACGTGGTCGAACCTGCCAGCGAGAAGGTTGACGAGGCGTGTGTCCGCCCAGTGACCACAGTTCGTCGATGCCGTGGCGGAGGCGTGGCTCGCTCCAGCTGCCCGCTCACCCTCGATGTGCTTGCTGAGCTGTGTTTGTTAACTACGGCCCCAGGGCCCGCGCAGGGCCCCTATGGAGGCTAAAAGCGGCGAGGAGCCCCAGGACCTGCTTCCCTGTGGACCCCTCCCTAGAGATCCGACGCTCCACAAAAACTGGAGCGGGCGGTTTTCGGCTGTTTCCCGCCTCCGGGGGCCCTCGCCGGGCCTCGGGACCGTAAACAAAACTACCTGCGACAAAAAACTGGTCCTGGCGAAATGGTCCAGACCTCGGAGGCCCACGCAGCGAAAAAATTGGAGCAGCCGGGCGTCTGGGCTCATGAAGGATATCGCCCAGGCCTTAAAACTCAAACCCCGGCCCTCTCCCGGCGTGCGTCCTGGCCAGACTCTCAAGGCGAATCCAGCTGTGGCGACGGGGAGGCCCAGAAAAAAGGCCTGGAGCGCACAAAAGTCGCGAGAAGGGACGCTGGATGATCAGGACACTCTCCCAGATATCCGGCTGCTCCAATTTTTTCGATGCGTGGGCCCCGGAGGCCTGGACCACTTCCCTAAAGGGCCGGCTTTTCGTCCCAGGACGCTTTTTGACTGTCCCGAGGCCTGGTGAAGGCCCATGGAGGCCGAAAGCAGCCAAAAACCGCCCGCCCCAATGTTTGTTTGAGCGTCGGGTCTCGGGGGACGCTGGATGACCAGGACACCCTCTTCGACGCCCGCGACTGCCGCTCAGCACAAGCTGCCGGCGCACGCGCACCAGCGTGACGAAGAGCCGCTGCGCGCCCAGGGCCTGCTTCATCAGGCTCCTGAGGGGGCAGGTGCGGGGCGGGGGGGGGGGGGGGAGCAGTGACCTGGAATCGGCGATACATCGCCCATAGATCGGCGATAAGCCTCCGATAGCGAATC